TGACTGACGCTGTAAATGGACGTGAGTGCTTGCGCAATTGTCCTTGGGTCACATCCTCCTCCCTCTTGTCCCCCAGTGACAGTGTCTTTTGCTACAAGTGACCAGAATTGAAGTTGCTTGTGCATTCTCATGTAGGTGAAAATGGTGCTATCCTAGCTACTTAATAATGGCGACATATAGGACAGTGGTCCCAGGGAATTACATTGCCTAGTAATATCACCACCACCTTACTTTAACAAAAAAGAGTGAGCGAGTGAGCGATCGAGTGAGCGAGAGAGAGAGAGAGACAGAGAGAGAGAGAGAGAGAGAGAGAGAGAGAGAGAGAGAGAGAGAGAGAGAGAGAAGGGCCAGCAAGATAGCTCAGTGGACTTAGTTCCTGCTTTGGAAAACATTGAAATCAGGATTTGATCCCTGGTCCTGCATGCTGCACCGGCCCCACTCCAGGGGCGTGTTGAGCCAGTGACTGAGTCTGCATGTGGTGGTGCACACCTGTAATCCCAGCACTGGGGAGGCTGAAAACAGGAGGATCCCTATGAGTGCAAGCTGTGTAGTGAGACCTTGTGCCAAATACATAAATGAAAAAAAAAAGTAAAAAAAAGCCACATTAGAAATGATACAGAATTTCATTAAGCAAAATAATAGGAATTCAACAATAGTTATTTCATAATGTTTGCTTCAAATTAGTTGTTTAGATTACCAGACATATAAGCATGACAAATTGTCAAAAAGTTACAAGAAATTAAAAAGGAGAAGATAAAAATTTCAGCATTAACTTCTCCTTTCAGTAGACCAGAAGAAATCATAAATATCCACATATTTCTTTCTTTCTTTCATCTTTTTTTCTCATTGTTCCTCCCCTTTGAACACATTTGTCCCTGTCGCAGCTATCTCCCTCCTACATGTTTTTCTAGAAGAACTGAAAACATCATACTACAGGGATATTTGTGCACCCATGTTTATAGCAGCACAACTTGCCATAGCTAAACCTCGGAAACAATCCAAATGCCCATCAGCTGAGGAGTGGATAAAAATGATGTGGTATTTTTATATAGTGGAGTATTATTCAGCTATACAAAAGATACACTTGAGACTTTTATAGGTAAATGGATGCAACTAGAGACCACACTCGTAAGTGAAATAAATCAATCTTGTATGTGCAAACATCATATTGTCTCCTTAGTATGAGAACCTGAAAGAGTAACTAAAATTCTGAAAACTGACTTTGTTTTTGTACTGGGAATTGAACTCAGGGCCTTACACTTGCTAGGAAGGTGCTGTGCTGCTGAGCTACATCCCTGTCCAAGCTACCCTGCTTTGTGCAAGTGCACTGTCTGATGAGTGTACAAGGACAATGTTGTTTAACGATATATTTCTCAGAAGTCAGTTCCATTTGTCAGACACATAACTGTGTTCTAATTATGTAATTTTGCACATATATATATATATATATTCTCCCATATTAAGTAATCTACCTTAAAGTTACATTCTTTTTGTTTGTTGTTTGTTTTGGTTCTTGAGACAGGGTCTCACTGTAGTCCAGGCTGGCCTTGAACTCGAGATGATCCTCCTGCCTCAGTTTCCCAAGTTCTGGGGTTGTAGGTGTGCACCACCAGCCCAGCTCTCAGAGATACATTCTTGGGACTGGAATTTCAGTGATAAATGATATTAAATTTTGTGAGGCATATTAATTGTTTGGTATTTGGTATTATTGCCAATAATTTATACCAAAATTGTATCTATTCATACTTGTATCAGCAAGGAATAGGAGTGTCTCCTTGGAGGATTTATTTTTTAAAGTTTATTTCTTCATTGTAACTGCTCTAGGTAGAATTAACCAACTGATTTTTAAAATTTTATTTATTTATTTATTTATTTATTCATTTAATACAGAGTCTTGCTATGCAGCTCCGACTTACGGTGATCCTCCTGTCTCAGTCTCCCCAGTGCTGGATGGGGGGTCTGGGGTTCCGGGGCTGACTCGGCATGCCATACCAGGGATGGAACCTGGGTCCTTGCACTTGCCAGGCAGGCACTTAGACCGCAGAGCTATCTCCCCAGCCAGCCCTAATATTTAAATTCTATAAAACTGGTTTAGGATTGGAGGAAGGAAGATCTAGCTAAAGGTTCCCACCCTGACAATAACTAGTTATTTTTGAGAGGCAATTTGGTGTCAGCACACCTAGGTCCATACAATAGTAGCCACATCATAACAGGAAAATAGGTGGCATTTTAGAAACACAACACTTGGAACATTTTCATGACTTCATTCCGACTCCTACACTTAATTGGGAAGCTAGATTGAATGTCTGAACCGTATTATTTATAAAACTTTTGTTAAAAGCAGTGGTGAAGAAGACCATTACTCACTTGCTGAATTAGTCAGGATGATCCTCAAGATTTGCTCATTATACAACGTTTTAAAGCGACCGACATCACCGCGAATCCAGCGCCCGCCCTCGGCCACAGGAGCTGTTTCCTCGTTGGAGGTCAGCCCTGAGTTTTCTTGGAGGGAGCTCCTTGTTTCTCGTTCTGTGTCAGTGTGGTCTGACAGCAGTCCCAGGTCCTGGCCAACGACGCCCATGTCACATTACTTCAGTGTATCCTTGAGGTAGCCACGCAACCAGACTCCAGTCTGGAGGCTTTATCCCGAGAGCCGTGCAGGTAATTGCATTTGCAGTGTGAGGGCAATCTATTTCCAGCGGATCAGCCCCGCGCCCCCCCTGAATCTCCAAGCGATTAATCAGAGCTGGAGGGGGTGGGCTGTTCCCAAGGTCTGTCACTGGCTCCTGGTCCTGCATTTCACAAAGAAACAGCTCTGAGTTCCAGAGCTGAAAGGGCCCAGAAAGAAGAAATCAGGCCTGCTCACTGCGCCTTCATGTAGCAAGATCACAAACTACTTTTATGATTTTTATTAGATGAGTATGGGTTCCAACGCTTTGGATTTGTTGGAAGGTTGTTTTAGTCCTCATTTTTCAGTTTGTTTAAGTAATAGTACGATTCTGATGCAGGAAAATTCCTCAGAGCTGGGATATTTTAATTGTGTCTGTTGCTCTTTTGGTGTTAGTTACCACTTGGTCAGTCTTCAAACTGACAGTGAATTCATTGTGCTTAAACATCTGATATACTTTTTGTGTCTTTTGAGGGCTTTTTCATTTTTTATTTTTAAGTTTCTATTTATTTGGTACAGGGTCTTGCTATGCAGTTTGGACTTGTAGTGATCCTCCTGTCCTTTTGAGGGCTTTAAAAAATAATTGATTACAAATATCACTCTGTTGACTGTACACACTTTCCCCTTTTGCATTAGGGGTTTGTTTCAATAAAGTTTATATATAATATTCCACATGGTTTTAGGACTCTGAAGAGATTAAGGTTAATTGTCTTGGGACAGGGTCTTCTTGTGTAGTTCAGGCTGGCCTTCAACTCACTATGTAGCCTGGGTTGGCTTCAAATTCACAATGGTCCTCCTGCCTCAGCCTCCTGAGTGCTGGGATTACAGGCAAGCACCACACCTGGCCCTGAAACATTAATCATATCTAAAAATTAGAAAAGCAAATACATAGATAATCCCTTACTTCTTTCAAAGTTCTATCAATGAAAACAGATTAGGATTAATTTTCATCTGTGCCTTGTTGAATTTAGAATCTCCCATGTGAGATTGTAGTTGCTAAGTGAAATGTTTGCAATGAGCAAGGTGAACGCTGGCTATCCTAATTGAGTGAGTAAATAGCTCTTACCTTACTATCGTGTCTGAGGAGAAATCTGTAAACTGTATACACATTGTATTTTTGATAAAGTGTCCTTGATTCCACTTGAAAGGCCATAATCTAATTAGCAGCAGCCGTGAGTCCTTTCTAAAGAGATCCTAATTTGGAAAAGAGGAAACGGGAACCCAAGATCTCCAAAAGCAAGGAACTTTATAAAATCAGCTCCGTGGTTAGTCATTACGTCTCTGGAAAGGGCAGGCTTTTCTAACTACCTCTACTCCTGTGATTTTTCTTTCAAATTGATACTTGAGATTTCCTTAAAAAAATCACCATAATGAAGAGTAAAATGTTACGTTTTCTCTAAAGAGGAGGAACTAGCATTTCAGCTAACCTTTTCCCTTGTCTCCAGGCTGTGGTGGAGAGAAATTCCTTTTAAAAGGGATGATTGCGTTTTAACTAGCAGCCTGAAATATTGCCAGACCATTAGATGTCGAATCTGTAGTTCAAAGATATTGTTTCCCTTCTGGACTTTTTGCTCCTAATATAATATTTTTAATCTTTAAAAATTACCAATTAACCAGCTGGCAATCCTATAGTAACACTGATTAACTGCTTAATCTTGTTTGACATAAATGAACATATTTTGGAAGTTGATGCTCACAAGTGATTAAAAATTAGTGTAAAAGAGGCCCATTTAGTGCCACTGTGGATCATTCTAGATTACAGTAAATAAAAACAGGTACACAGGTAACTTCCTCTGTGCCCTACAGTTTCCAGAATCTAATTATACTATTACATTATATTATATGATATTATGTTATATTATATTATATTCCTTAAGGTTATTTATTGTTTTCAGTATGATACCTTAACTTCTACCTTTGATTTCTACTGCCAAATGGCTAGTTATTTCTTTTTCCTCTGGTTTTATTCCTTTCTTTTTTTCCTTTTCTTTTCTTTTTTTTTTTGCTGTACTGGAGATTGAGCTCAGGACCTTATGCTTGCCAGGCAAGCTGTTATTCTACTGAGCCATCTTCCCAGCCCTCTTCTAGTTCTATCAATTATAGTTTTGTTTTTATGAGACAAGAAGATAATAGCCAGTGAACATTGAAAGACAGATCTAGTTCACTTCTATTGAATGACATTTTTATGAGAATGCCTGTCTTTTAAAACAGGGATTAAAAAGTCATTATTCAGATAACTTTTTTTATTCAAATAATTTAAGCCAGGTAAATCTGTGTGGTTGTAGATACCTGGCTGGTGGCTGACGTTGTTCACTCTCTGTCATTATTTCAGGATTTTCTCCGTGCTGTAGAGGCAAGGGACGCTCTTGCAAGGGAAGTTAAGGTCTTCCAGGAGAGGCTGCTTGCTGACCGGCGGGCTTGGGACGCCTCGAAGCAGGAGCTGAGCCTCCTGCGGAAAAGCTCTGCAGAGACCGAGCAGCGCTTGAAGGCCAGTCGGGATGCAGTCGCGGCCTCCCAAAGCCAGAGCTCTGCGTTTAGGGAGAAAATCGCAGCCCTGCTGAGGGGCAGGCTGGGCGCACCTGGGCCCTCGGAGGACGCCGTGTTGGAGAAGATTCGAGAAATGGGCAGCCAGGAAGAGAGCAGGAAAAGGGTGAGTGGGAGACGGCTGCTTACAAGCTTTCCCAGAGTCCAGGGCCAGGGGCTGGGGAGATAGCTCAGTGGAATAAGTGCTTTCCTGTGCAAGGTCCTGAGTTCGATCCCTCCTATTACCAAAAGAAAAAAGTAAATAAAAGTTTTTTTTTTTTTTTTTTTTTAAAGCTCAGATCAACAAAAGATTTATCCAAATTAGTTAAAAGAGCCATTTAAATGCTATGTTCCTGGCGGCTCAGTTCCACGCACTCGGGTGCGTCTGTTAGCTGCTGGCCACACCGAAGGAGGCCGTTCATTCTGGTGAGAAGGAAAAAGGCTTTCGTGGAAGCTGCCCCGGAGGAGGTGGGCGGGCCGCGTCCACTCTCCCACACCCGAGTGTGCAGGCCAGGCGCCGAGGGCAGCGGAAGGGGAGGAGCGCAGAGAGAGGGGCCAGCGCCTGCCGGTTCTTTCCATTCATCGAGGCGGGACTGCTGGGCATGCATGCACTCCGCACGGGAAGGCCGCGCCAGCACCTGCAAATCTGTCCCTTCACCTGGGTGGAGGAGAGCAGGGCGTGTCGTCAAGCCCCATTTTGCCATGCTAGTCTCAGCTGCGTCACTGTCACTGTGTGCAGTCCTCAGGAGGGCCCAAGTCACTGCAGCAGCCGCTGGCCGGGCTGCACACCCGCTGCTGGCTTGCTCAGGGCGGTGCGACCACGGGCGGCTTCCGGGAGCCTGGCCTCTGAGCTTTGGTGCGGGCATGAGAGGCACGGCCCTTACTGGAGATCTGTGGGAATTCACAACTTTTTCAGGGCTTAGGAAGACAGAAAAGGGGGCCCGGGTTTTGATTCCCGGGCCTGCCATGCCGGCCCCACCCCTGGGGCATGCTGAGAGGGCAATTGAGACTGGGCTTGGTGGCTGAGACAGGAGGATCTTTATGAGTCTGAGCTGCATAGTGAGACCCTGTACCAAATAAATAAAATATTAAAAAAAAAATTTAGCACCCCTTCATAAAATAATTCTGTCTTACTTCCACATATAATTCCAGTATACTGCTTTTTCTGTTCCTGTCATACTAGTTCAAAAGGAGAAAATATGTTTCCATCTTTTAACATAGTCTCTAGTCCAAATCCCAGCACTTAGGAGGCCGTGAACAGGAGAATCACTGGTGAGTCTGATCTAGTAGTGAGACCGTGAACACCCTGTAGACCCTTCCCTAAAATAAAAAAGAAAAGCAAGACAGAAAAGGCAGGAAGACTGTACAGAAGCAACTGTATCCAGTCCTCTGCAAGGAGGTCTGGACTGAACCCCGACACTGGCACGGTTGCCAGGCTTCAGCCAGCCCTGGGGCACCCTTAGGACAGATGAGTGGAAACTACAAGTAGCTCTGTGTCATTTTGGGTCAGGGTTTACTGCTCAGCTGGGTCAGGTCAGGCCAGGCTTTGTCCACAAATGAGATTTGGAATTAGCAATAAGGGTTTCTAGACCTGTAGTACCATCTGCCTCATGAGGTTTTTGTTCAAAATAAGCATTAAACAAAAAAATATTGCCGTGAAGTTCTTAACCTGCTGCCTGGTCAATCACAATAGTATATACTGTTATTGCTGCTGTAGCCTGTCCTCTCTCCTCTCTCTTTTACTTCTTTACATAATGCATTCATATGCAGGACAGTCTTTTAAGTATTTTTTTTAAAGAATCTATTTAATAAATGAAGAAAAAGGGTTTAATGCAATTATGTGTAGAAGGCATTTATACTATTAACGTACCATTAACAATTCTCACTTTTTAAAGTATTTTACTTAGGGTCTCACTGGGCTTGTAGTTCAGGCTTGGCTTGAACTCACTGTGTAGTCCAGGTTGGTCTTGAACTTTTGGTGATCTTGAGCTTCCTGAATGGTGGGATTATAGGCCTGTGCCAATATGCCTAGCTAATAATTTGCATTATCTGTAAGTCATTACCAGAGCCTATTTCAGCGTGGACTAAATGAGCATCAAACTCAAAAATAAAGTCTTAATTAATGAGGCTTTACTAAGTTTGCAGACCAAAAATTAGAGAAAAAGAAGGGCTGCAAGGACAGCCAAGACTTTGGCCCCAGCCTTTCAAGGTCAGTGAGGACTCAGGACATAGGAGAACCTGTGCTGTATCATCCTGTAACTCAGTGGTGTCCCAAACTTTCTGATCAAGGAGATTATGGAGCCACAGAGGAATGTGATTGATGATGTAGAATGTGCCTAAGGAGAGTCACATGGAGAGAAAACATTTTCTCAGGCTTTCCCAGAGAGCAAATTGGTCAAGCAATGGCCATGACTCATCCACATAGCTGATACTGACAAAGGATCTACAAAGTGCGGTACATGGTTTCAGGGTAAATCCTGAGGGGTTTGACTGACTTTATCAGATCCAAAAGTTACATTTCTTGTTACATAGGTCTTGCTTTATCTTGGTCTTAACCATCCAGCAGAAAAGTATAAAAGCAAAGTATAAAAAGTAAAGCCATATTAATATACTGAGCTGTAAAAGGCTTAAGTCAACAGCTTCGGACATTGCCAGTCTTATGGAAAACCCACTACTATTATGGACTACTGGACTATATTGGAATATTTTGTGTAATTCATGTACCTACAATATTTAAATGGCAATGGAATGCCCTTCTCTGACAAAACTAAACCAAAAAAGGGGATACAAATGAACGACCATTTTGTATCTGTATATTCAAAGTAGGATAGATATACAGCTGCATTCTCTTTTTTTTTATTTTATGACATCAGTTATTTTTATTTTAAAGAAAGAAAAAAAATAAATAAAAACAGTGGTACAAAATTTCAAAACAAGATTTTAGGAGAGTAACAATGGTTAGTACATTGTGTGTTGTTATTGCCAAAGTAGTTTCTCATTTTATAAGACATAGGCAAGAAATAATAAGCAAATAACATAGGCACAAACCTCTTTTTTTTATAAGTCAACAGAAAATGGAAATATACTTTTTAAAGTTTCTAGTACTAGAAGATATCATACAATGTCTTTTTAAATAAATTGTAAGTCAAAGAAACAGTATAAATCTTAGAACAAAAATTAAGATTAAGCAATACTCAGAAAATTAAATGATTCAAAACAATTTAACTAAGAAAAATTTTCATGATAGCAAAGAAGTACTAAGAGTAAAACATAAGATAAATACTGGAATGGCAAATAAATGACCAGCACTTTTAACAATTTGAGGATAGGATATCGCACAAAGTTCTAATGTGTTGTGGACATGCATAATGACCGTGACAGTTACTGGTGGCTAGGCGTCACTTGTAGAACTGAGCTACAG